ATTTTCTAAAATGTTTATTACGTTAAAGTAGTTAATTTGTGGTGGTGTTTGTTTCAGTTACATTTATTTATTTCTCCCCATTCCTCTAGGACAATTTGCGCAATATGGCCCTCAATTTGGTGGCCAGGCTGAGAGCTACATTGAATAATTCAACACCAAACAGTATGTATCATGAGTTACTATCTTTATTAGGTTGCCAGCTCTAGACAACATGTGTGGTTTGATTACATTATGTTTCTTTCCTTATATACATATAACAATATATAAATACTGTTTTTGGAACAACTTATTGCTTTCATCATGGAAGTGTTGCTGTCATTATCATACAGCTCACCTATTCATTTAGCCTATAACACAACAGAAGCTACATGATGTCAGTGAATTAATTATGTTGAATGAGCAATGAAGTTCAGGGACAGTGCAACGTACAGTCAAGCTCAGCCAGGGTATCCAGACAGGACACATCCCAGGAACCACAAGAGCACAATGTGGTGCGTGGACCTGCACAGGCACCTTCAGGAACTGCAGTTCAACAGAATATGGCCAGATTTGGATGTTGTTCAAAGGATGCATCTCAGATGTTTCAACAACAGCCCTCTTCAGTTCCTCACACAGTTGTTTGACTGCTGATTCAAATTAATTTTAATTTCATCTACTCCTCTTTATACAGGTGTTTCCCTGGACTATTTAAAGATAGGCAGAAGTGAAGGACTCCTTCGTGATTGTCCAAAAAAAGGTCAGGCACCAAAACAACGCCAATCCAATTCTTTCTTCTGGACAGCCCAACAGAGAGAACCCCCAAACCATCTGATGAGCTAATGCTTTTACAAGCTGGGTTAGGAAGAAGTCCCAGAGGATGCTGGCCATAATGAGGTATGTGGTATGACACTTAATGAAGTAAGAACTCAAATTTGCACAAAATATTATTAACATATACTGAAACAGCATATCCGGTGAAAACAGTAGTAAATATTTGAACTTAAACAGGAGGATCAGGTCAACGGAAACTCAACTTGTTGACACCTGAAGGGAGGCAAGTGCTGTCTCTACATTATGCCCCTCCAGAACACACTGGACATTTCTCCCCTACCCTTCACAGCTCTGGAGTTCCAGGCCATGCCGAAAGCCCGGTGTTTGTCATGCCAGGAGTATGTGCCCCTGCAGCTCCTCAGTCTTCTTGTCAAGACATGTATCCAGTCTAAAGTCAAGGTTGAGGTATGGCTTGCTGACTTGAAACTATAACATTGATGTTCTTTCTCCTTATTTGATGTACAGGTTGGTGTTGTCATTTCTTAAATTTCACAGCAACTATTGGATGGTGGGACCCTGTTAGCAGTGTCCCTGTCAGCTTAACCCACAATTGCTTCTGGCACTGTTGTTTAGCGATTGTTTTTTGTAAGTCATCAGTCTTGATATTTAATTTTATAGACCCACTGTGATGATGACATTATCAAGTTGGACGATGAAGTGGTAAGCTATCAATACAAATGAAGAGATCATACATAGTATTTCATATTATTGAGCCATACATTTAGATTTTATTTGCAATATATTTAATGTGAATGACCCAGTAATGTTTTACAGGCATCTGGTGATGTGCAGCCATCACATTTGGAGAGTAAGGTGAGCAAACTGCAGTGCTCCATCAAATTGCTTGTGTTTCTTCTTAAGATTTAGGTTTTAAGAATTAACCAGTGAAATGTTTTACATGATCTGTTCTCATTAAATAGCATGTTTACATCTGACCTCTGAAACGGTACATCTGCATTTTTAATGGATAATTTAACACGGTTATTTCTTATTTTCATAGGTTGCTTGTCCATTGTGCAGTCAACTATTTACAAAAGACGACATCTATGTGCATGCAAGTGTCTGCGGGGAGAGGTAAAAGCTTTTCTAAGTTTCTTCATAGTATCTTACAAAGTTTAATGCATTTTGTATCTACTTGATTAAAATGCTTAATCCCACTGTAGAGTCCCCTCATCACCCCCCCCCCCCTTTTATTAAAGAATTTGGACAGATGATGGATTAAGGTTACCTGTTTATGGAATGTTTTGTTATTATTGATCTTTACAGCAGTACAAAGGAGGAAGATGCAGATATTAGTGAGGACAAAGATGAGCACTTCGGCAGGCATGCTGTAGAATAGTTTTTAATGGTATTGGATTATGATGCTTGCCTTGGTCTGTAGCACTGAATTCTCAACAATATTATTTTGATATTGTTGTGTAGCGCATCAGACATCTTGATGTCACTTGAAAAGAAAGTTGACACGTCTCGGTCATTCAACATCAATGTGACAAGAGAGGACCTGTTTCAAAGGGGGCTGAAACAGTGGGCCAGGCAAAAACAGGCCTCCCAAGAATCTCCTCAGGCCTTTTCCAAAAAAATAAGAAAACATTTCTAAGACAATATTTCTCCAGGGAATGCAGTAATAGACAGTAGCAGCGCTATGCTAAAGGTTTGACAGGTCCGACACTTTGTCGGATTTAGCAACAGTAACTAAGGGGGCTTTCTCTGGACCCCTGCCAAATCTGACCAGTGATGACATGTATAGCCGCATGTCGTCATTCCGCCGCTGGTTGTTGAGGTGGTGTCCAGCAAACGATGTGGGCTTTGTTGATCATTGGCAGACTTTCTGGGGAAGACCTGGTCTGATCCAGAGAGACGGCATCCATTCCACTTGGGAAGGAGCAGCTCTCATTTCTAGAAATCTGGCCAAGTTTATTAGTGGACCAAATCCATGACAACCCAGAGTTGAGACCAGGAGGCAGAGGGTTTAACACACCTCTCTGCCCTTCTTTTTCAGCAGTTACCCACCCAAAACCCTACGCAGAGTCGCAGTCTAACACACTTCTCTGCTCCTCCATTTCATGAGTTACTTAGTGAAAATCCTATAGTGACGGTGTCTGTCCCCCGACCATCGAAATTATTTAAATCAAAGGTAAACAGAAGAGGAGCTGTGCATAAAAACCTCATAAAAATTAAAACCACAAGAGCAATAGTGCAAATGAATAGGAGAGTTAAATGTGGACTCTTAAACATCAGATCTCTCTCTTCTAAAGGTGTACTAGTAAATTAACTAATATCAGATTATGATATTGATTTATTTTGTCTTACTGAAACATGGCTGGGTGATGGAGAATATGTTAGCCTAAATGAATCCACCCCTCCCAGTCATATTAATACTCACATTCCTTGAGGCACAGGCCGAGGAGGTGGAGCTGCAGCTATCTTCGACTCTAGCCTACTAATCAGCTCTAAACCTAAACCAAACTATAACTCATTTGAAAGCCTTGTTCTTAGTCTTTCGCACCCAAGTTGGAAATCACTGCAACCAATTCTCTTCGTTATAGTGTACCGAGCACCTGGCCCGTACTCTGAATTCTTATCTGAATTTGCAGAGTTTTTGTCAACTTTAGTCCTTAAAACGGACAAAGTTATTATTGTAGGGGATTTTAATATTCATGTGGATGTTGAGAATGACAGCTTCAGTACTGCGTTTATCTCTCTGTTAGATTCCATTGGTTTCTCTCAGAGTATTCATGAACCGACTCGCTGTTTTAACCACACCCTCGACCTTGTTTTGGTGTATGGTATGGAAATTGAACATTTAGTGGTGTTCCCACAGAATCCCTCTTTGTCCGACCACTGTTTGATAACTTTTGAGTTTGTATTGCTGAACTACTCGCCATTGGGCAAAAATTTCTATACAAGATGTCTGATAGTGCTGTAGCTAAATTTAAGGATGCGATTCCATCAGCTCTAAATACATTATCTAGTCACAAAGTTACGGAGGACTCCTATGCTAGTTTCAGTCCCTCCCAAATCGATCATCTTGTTGATAGTGCTGCAGGCTCGCTGCGAATGACACTCCACTCTGTAGCCCCTCTAAAAAAGAAAATACTAAAACAAAGACGGTTAGCTCCATGGTATAATACTGAAACTCGCAAATTAAAGCAAATATCGCGGAAACTTGAGAGGAATTGGCGTTCCACCAAAGTGGAAAATTCTCGTTTAATTTGGCAAGATAGTCTTAAAACTTATAGGAAGGCCCTCCGTAATGCTAGAGCAGCGTACTACTCGTCATTAATAGAGGAAAATAGGAACAACCCCAGGTTTCTTTTCAGCACTGTAGCCAGGCTGACAGAGAGTCACAGCTCTATTGAGCCAAGTATTCCCATAGCTCTCAGTAGTTACGATTTCATGAGCTTCTTTAATGATAAAATTCTAGCTATTAGAGACAAAATTCACCAAGACCTGCCCTCAACTGGCACCGACTTATCTCTTAACTCAGGAACCTTAGAAACAGCTGTAGAACCAGATACATGTTTAGACTGTTTTGCTTCCCTCAATCTTTACCAACTAACTTGAATAATTTCTTCATCTAAACCATCAACCTGCCTCTTAGACCCCATCCCGACTAGGCTGCTTAAAGATGTTTTACCCTTAGTCAGCACCTCTATACTAGATATGATCAATCTATCTCTATCAACAGGCTATGTACCACAGTACTTTAAAGTAGCTGTAATTAAACCTCTTCTGAAAAAGCCCAAACTTGATCCGGATGTTTTAGCCAACTATAGACCTATATCTAACCTTCCATTTCTCTCTAAGGTTCTGGAGAAAGCAGTTGCTAAACAGCTGTGTGACTTTCTACAGCGCAATAGTTTATTTGAGGATTTTCAGTCAGGATTTAGAGCTCAGAGACAGCACTGGTGAAAATTACTAACGACCTCCTTATTGCATCAGACAAAGGACTTGTCTCTGTACTGGTTTTATTAGATCTTAGTGCTGCATTTGATACCATTGACCATCAGATCCTATTGCAGAGACTGGAACATTTCATTGGCATTAAAGGAACCACTGTAAGCTGGTTTAAGTCCTATTTATCAGATCGATTTCAGTTTGTACATGTTAATGATGAGTCCTCCATGCATGCCAAAGTTAGTCATGGAGTTCCTCAAGGATCTGTCCTCGGACCAATCCTCTTCACTTTATATATGCTTCCTTTAGGCAATATTATCAGGAAACATTCCATAAGCTTTCATTGTTATGCAGATGATACTCAGTTATATCTATCGATCAAGCCAGATGAAACCCATCAGTTAGCTAAACTTCAAATGTGCCTTCAGGATGTTAAAACCTGGACGACCTGTAATTTTCTCATGTTAAACTCAGATAAAACTGAAGTTATTGTTCTGGGGCCTAAGCACCTCCGAAACGCATTATCTAAAGATATATGTTATATATATATATATGTTTCCCTGGATGGCATCGCCCTGGCCTCCAGCACCACTGTGAGGAATCTTGGAGTTATCTTTGATCAGGACATGTCGTTTAAGTCTCACATTAAGCAAATTTCAAGGACCGCCTTTTTTCACCTACGTAATATTGCGAAAATCAGGAACATCCTGTCTAAAAATGATGCAGAAAAACTAGTCCATGCATTTGTTACTTCTAGGCTGGATTACTGCAATTCCTTATTATCAGGCTGCTCAAAAAAGTCCATTAAGACTCTTCAGCTGATCCAGAATGCTGCAGCACGTGTTCTGACAGGAACCAGGAAAAGAGATCACATTTCTCCTGTTTTAGCTTCTCTGCATTGGCTTCCAGTAAAATCCAGAATAGAATTTAAAATCCTTCTTCTTACCTCCAAAGCTCTTAATGGTCAGGCACCATCTTATCTTAAAGAGCTCATAATACCTTACTACCCCACCAGAGCACTGCGCTCCCAGAATGCAGGGTTACTTGTGGTTCCTAGAGTCTCCAAAAGTAGACTAGGAGCCAGAGCGTTCAGCTATCAAGCTCCTCTCCTGTGGAACCAGGTTCCAGTTTGGGTTCAGGAGGCAGACACCATCTCCACATTTAAGAGTAGGCTTAAGACTTTCCTCTTTGATAAAGCTTATAGTTAGGGCTGGCTCAGGTGAGTCCTGAACCATCCCTTAGTTATGCTGCTATGGGCCTAGACTGCCGGGGGATTTCCCATGATGCACTGAGCTCCTCTCTCCTCTACTTTCTCTCCCTCTGTATGCAACCTCATCCCATTATTGCATGTTACTAACACAACTTCTCCCCTTTCTGGTAGTCTTGTGCTTTCTCGTCTCTCTCCTCTCTCCTATCACTTCCTGCAGGTTTTCTGGCTCTGGAGCTGTGGAGTCTGGATCTGTGGTTGCGGGTCACCTGCTGCCCCCGTGTTCCTGCTCGACACCCTCTGCTGCAACGACTATTGTTGCTAGTCTTATTGTTATTATTGTTATTATAATCATTAACATTACGATTGTTACCATTAACACTATTATAAATATCTGTACCATTTTTCATTTAGTCTATAGCAACATCACCTTCACTGTCTGTACCTCTGTGTGTATATTGTGTAGGCTCTCTCTCTCTCTCTCTCTCTCTCTCTCTCTCTCCCCAACCGGTCGAGGCAGATGGCCGCCCACCCTGAGCCATGGTTCTGCTCGAGGTTTCTGCCTCTTAAAAGGAAGTTTTTCCTTGCCTCTGTCGCCTAGTGCTTGCTCTTGGTGGAAACTGTTGGGCTTCTGTAAATATGTTGTTGTGATTTGGCGCTATATAAATTGAATTGAATTGTACTTGAAGTCACTGATCAGGATATAAAAAATCTGATGAAAGAGGTATTTAAACAGTTTACTGCATACATTTTTCCAAGTCAGGCATATAAAGTTATCAGAAAATGTTTGTCTCTTCTGCAAATATCAAGGTTGTGTGTCTTTCAGGTGGAAAATGCAGAAGGTGGAGAAAGGCTGAGACTTATCAGATACGATTGTGGCATGTGGCTACACTGGGCCAATAAATGTTGACCAAAAAAAGGCCATTATAGAGTAAGTTAAGGTAGTATTGAAATATTTGTCACAAAATGCTATGCTGCTGTGTTAACAATTTCACTCTGAATCAATACAGTATTATTTTCTTACTGTTTATTAGTGCCATCGCTTTGCATGCACTGGTGAGGCTGATCCTTATCTTGAACCAGCTGCGTGAGGGATTGAGGCTCTACGGAGTTCGGCAGACACTAAGGTAGCATTTTAAGGGCCTTGTTACCTGACCCTTTTTGTGCTTTGTTTCTATTTTCTACTGTGTACAAAGTTGTTCTACTGTTAAAAAGAATAAATCTAAAGATTTAACTGTGGTTGAAGTATATTTTATTTACATCACTTTCTGATCACCAAAACAAACATTAAACACCTGACAAAGCTTGAAGCACATATTCACGACATAGGAGGTAAAGGTCTCTAGTGTCAGTGTCTCCATTTTCTTCAATCAGCACCTGAAGCTCTAGTAGCTGCTGTTCATTCAATGAACACTCAAATTCAGGGACTGTTATCACACCATCCACGTCTTCTCCATAGTCAGCTGCAACATCCCAGTCGATGTCCGGCTCTTCAATATCCTGAAAGTCGAACAAGACAGAAAAATGCTGCTATCATTAGTCATCCCATGTTTACAGCATCTAATGTAATATGTTCATCCCAATTGTTTGGCTTTTCAACATTAGCTGAAGATATAAACATTTAGGGTTTGTATAACTATGCAACAAATTGATTTGATCAGGTGCGTAAATATTCTCTTTGGTGTTAAACAGTACAAGTGTACCTAATGAAGAGGTTACTCAGTGCATATGAACTGTATTACCAACAGTTGCATCAATTGTGATTGTTTCACCAGTTGAAGATGCGTGTTACACTGCTTAGAGCCTGGTGGGGCATTTCAAAGTTACATTAACAGCTCATATTGGATATAACATTTACTGTAGCAACTTAGAGTTGTTTTAAAAGAAAAAAAACAAAAAAACCCTGAAGATTCTCTGGCTGGTCAATTGGTCGAAGCGTCATTCCTGAGTGCCAAATCTGCTCAGGAGTTTTATTCCCTTCTGTTCTCAGTGGGTGGTTGTTCCAACCTTCCACAAAAGCCTCCAGGTCTGCCTTCAGTTTAGGAAGGAATGTCAGGTGGACTGTCAAAAGATCTTCTATAAAAGGGTAGGAGAATGTTACTTTTCACAGGTGAGCTCTGAAAACGCAACATTAAGCATTGAATAGACTTTTGTAAATACATCTCATTGATTTGTTTTTTTCCAGTATTTAACCATTTCTACTTATTTACAATAACGGCCTGGCAGGGGATAAAGACCTCCTGTATGGAATGGGTACTAGGATTAAATAAAAACAATCTACAGAAAGTAGACGATAGATGGCACAATATGATGAGACAAACTCATACCTCTGGAGGACACATCAAGAAGGTGAGCCATCTCTAGGCTGTGGAGTTCGTTGTAATATTTTGATATCACACATGTTCTGACATCCCGCCACAAACGTTCAACCTACGGATTTAGAAATTATTATTTTAACCATCAAGGACTTGATAACATGAGAAAATGTTAGTATGTTATGATTTTACACACAATAGACCTCTTTATTAGCTTGGTAAAAGCATCCAAAATACAAAAAGAAAAACCTTTGATTATGGACGCTTTTTCCTGACATGAAGCTTCCTCGATCAGTTCCACGGACAGTGAACATATATCGGGCTATTTCAACATTCTCCACTCCGTGATCACCTCTCACCCTGAAGTGCACACACAGATGACCAGTGTGTCAGTGATTCACAATACACGGAACTAAAGTGCTACATTATGTCAAAGTGTGTCTGTGTTTATATATCTATACATATGTCACGATAAACGTGTTCAGCATATATTCGCTGACCACTAGAGATCAGTACAAGCAGGTAATATAATGGAGGGGTAAGGCTATGACAGGGAGAGCCGAAGGAAGTAGAGTGTTGTGAGGAAACATTTAAAATTATAATCCCTGAGAACCCTGAGTTTACAGTAAATTATTTCTTAAAATATTACATCCATCATGTTTGTGTCTGTACCTTGAAGCCTGTAAAAAATTTACCTTGAGGGTATTCCATGCCTCTCAGTTGCTTTTTTGAAGGCAGTGAATGTGGTTGATGCACGATTGTTTGTTGCAGCATTCAAGCACACCACCTATGTTATGAGACATTTTCATAAATGTACATTTACTATTTGTCAATATCTTACATGTGCAATTGGATTACACTCTGGTCCCTTCATGCCTCAGGGAATCTGATATTTTAACACACCTTAATGACCCTTACTACCATGTGGAACGCTGTATAATAACTTTTTCTCCCACATCACCAGGGTAGTATTTCAGCTATCTGAATGCAACATGTAATTATTTGGTGTATATCATAATAAATTTGCTTACACAGAAGGTCCCAGTGCAATGAAATCTTACCTTCCTGGAGTAGCCGTCCACTGCACCAAAAAGTACAATGTTGTACCTGATGGGCACAAAATAAAGACCTACATTACCAGTTTCAACCTGGATTTTTATTGTAGAAATGTCATGGCAACATACTTATGCTTTGAGATCTATCAGTGTCTGCATCATTGTATTTAACAAAATAAATAATCAATAATCTGTACTGTACAGTACTGACCTGATCAGTTTGTGGTTAGTGTCGACATGCCACAGTGAAAGGGGCCCACTGACAGAGTAAGTTCTTCGCACAATGCAGTCCAGTCCAGTCAGTCTAGAAAGAATCCCAAGCGAGTCCACTCGATGCATTGATTAAGTAACTCTCCTCCACTGCACGTGGATTCCCATGGACTTTAAGGCTAAAGTCTCCGATAAATCCAATAGCCTGCTGTGGACATTTCATTTTTGATGCGTTGGACTGCATTATCAAGCTCCTGGTCAGTAGCATTGCTGTAGTTCTGTCTGGCAGAGATACCAAACTCCCTCATCCGTCTGTTGACTGTACTGGCTGAAACGCACAGTAACTTTGCGATGCAGTTGTTGTGAACTCAACCAGATGCACTTCAAAGAAGGTCAGATGGTGTCAAAAGAGGGAGGGAAGTTTCCCTCCCCGAGAGTTGACCTTTTTCACATGTAAAACCCAGAGACATCGCCTGGTGTTGGTAAGGACCGAAAGAGACTCAATCTGACAATGAATCGCTTAAGGATTGTGTATTCAAAGAGCCTTAGTGAACCTTTCTAGCCGTAAAGGTGTCACTAAAGACAGTCCACAGGACAGGAAAAGGGGCGATCTGACCCCTTCTCCCTCCAGCAGGTCACCTCCAGCCTCAACCTGACTCTTTTCTCTCCACAGAACGGCTGAGCCATAAACCACCATTTCATTCTCTGATAACCGGTGCGATAAGCCAGGAATGCAGAGAAGAAAGACCATAAAAACCCCTGTTACTCGAACCAAGCAAGGTTCACGTATAACTGTGTTTATTCTGTTTAAATAATAACCTTGCTAAGTGAGTGTTAGCCTCTGAGTTTAGTAAGTAATAACCCTGTTGTTATCCTTTAGTGATGTTTGAAGACTAGCAGACCCATAAGAAAGTAATCTTGAACTAGTTTTCTAACCTCTTCCTGTGTTGTCTTAAGTCATTCCTGTTACTCCCTAGTAATCACTGTCTATTCAATGCTAACTAATGCTTTAGTTAAATGTTTCATATACAATTTCTTACTAAATTATCCATGGAAACGCTCGTAGGCATCACCAGCCTCTCAGTTAAAGTGGAATGTCTACTCTTTTCTTGTGTGACCCGAGCGCCACCAAGGGGACAAGAAAGGTATAACATGCAAGTGTTTAAAACTCGGCTTACCCTGACAGAATTGTTAAGTAGGCCTAACTATCACCATGTAATTGCATAAACGAAATTTTACTGTCATGCTTACATCTAAATTGTCTCATGAGTTAAAACCAGTAACCAGCAAGTATACTGAGGACATGTAATCAAGCTTTGTTACGTTTTATATAACCATTATAACCTTTTTCCATAGTGTTTAGCCTTGTTTTAACTGTCTTTATCCGAATGTTTAGAACTAAGTATTTTTCCAAATGTCGA